CGACGAGTTCCGAGCCTGGTGTGCGGGCCATTTTTTCGATACATATATTTGATCCAAAATAGTGGTGTGGAATACGTAGTAATTCCATGACCGGGTCCCCGTGTATCGCAAAAAATCGATCATGTATCGAAAAAGCGACCCGGCACCGCACAGGAATCTCGGAATTCGGGACCTGGAAATCGCTTAAAAGGGGCGCCAGCTCTCCCACTTACATTACGACTCTATGTACTCTATGGAGGAAGATGGCCATTGCGTACTGATCATTGAAATTGATGGACAAGGCGATAGACAAAAAAGACAATAGGAAAATGGAGCGATTCTACTGGTAAAAGCAGATGGCTGCAATAGACAGAGGAGGTGATTAATGAATTGACTAACGACAACCCATAAGATTCCCTCCAGTTAGTCCATCGTTTTCTCCCTATGTGTAACAACCACCCGTTTTGACCGATAGAATCGCTTAACTTAATTTCAGAGTATCAAAAACTGTATAGCGCTACATTACGACAACTGAAAGGAGATAAAAATATAATAAGCATACGTATTAAGCTGTCGTCGTTTCATTGCATGAAACGAATAAGCATGAAAAGGTAGCATCGCCCTAATTAGATGACATCTACAAACGCGGGATCGATCTAGGCGCCTGAATGCAACTATTCGTACTCGTGGGATGTGAGTGTTGCGTGCAGGAAAATGAAGGCGCTCCAACTTTCCTGGCCCACGCAGTCTCGCACGAAGCTCGCGGCACAGTCGTCGCTTACCTAATTTCGTTTCTTGTTTGTTTGAGACCTCTATGTCATGAGTGAAAAAGTGTCCTCCAGTGTTTATTTCAACTTTGATTGGGTGGAATAATTATACGTAAATATTTTTCAAGCCTTACTGGGAATTTTCTTCTTCCTCTTTTCCTCTCATCCACCTAACAGATTAAGCCGTTAAAATACAGGGCGATCCGAGGTATGTACCCATTCTTTTGAAGAGAAGTTTAACGTTCAGTGGCGAGGCGTGAATGATCGATTATCGACATTTCCTCCATTTGAGGCAATGATAAAAAATCGATTATTAAGGTGTTCGTTGCGGACACCCTGTTTATCGATAGTTTTCCATAGGTTTAAATGGCAGATTGATTGATATATCGCGAGGCACGCCACGCCACCGGTAACGCTGAAAACTGATCCGACGCTGATACGATAAAGTTTGACTTTTTTAATCATCCTGTAGCGAAATTAAGTGGTTTGGCTTGTACTATTAATCAAAGGTATCCCAATGGCGCAATCCACGCTGAGAGCTGAGCTCAGACATATTTTCCACCGATCGAAGTGACCTGATAAATTGCCTAGTAGTTCAAAGGATTGTTTTTTCTCTAAAGCAGAGAACCCGAAGGAAACGATTTGGTTCGAGCCGAAAGATTTCGTTCACACCAACTCAAATATACGCGCCCGTCAAGAGTATTTTTTATGTGACGAGTTTGTTAATTAGAGCGACTACGTTCATGTATATATTTGGGTAGAAAATATACATTGATGGGTGGACAGATCGGAATTTCAGAATCGGACGGAGGTATATCTGAAGCATTCTAGAGAATGATTCGGAAGCAATTTTACTAATACTAACTTTTTACAGATGAAATTTAATAATATTTTATTTCATATTTGAAATTTCCATGATTGTTGTAATAAGTATCATTATAGCATGGGGCTACCAACCAGAGCGAGTAGAGGCTGCTAGTAATAGGTAGGTCTACTAGTAATAGGGAGATGTCTATAGGGACTAATCGATATACTATACTAATTTACAAATGAAAGAGGAATATCTATAGATCTGTTGGAATAATACCGTATGATGACCAGATTAGTACTAGTATTCTTGCTTATAGATAAGACGTGGAATTCTACTTCAATCTGGAAATTTTGATGCCGAAAATATGCGATTGAAATTTTAAATGGCTTTTTCTTTCTTAAAACAAAGCGTTTTGAACTAAAAATTTTGAACGACTTCACCTCCGCTCGACTTAATCGTTTTCGGGCGATTTTTGCGCGAGTTTGTAGACACAAGAAATAAGTTGAAATTGCCTACAAAAAAAAAAAAATTGAATTTCCACAAGGGGGCACTGCTTTTCTCTCCTCCCTTGAATTCCACGACCGCGGTTGGGATGAAAAGCATTCTCAGAGTTTCAAGGTTGCCACATAGGTAATTAAGAAAATGAAACTCCCTGACTTTTCCTTGATCTCCCCGGCACGATTTGGTGAAATTCTCTAATAATTGAGGATATGGCAGGTGGTTAAGAAGACATAATTGAAAATAGTTCTCAGGAAGAATTTGGTGTTCAAAATCTCAAACCTACTGTAGAAAGAAAATGAAGGTGATACAACGAATTTTCCCCCAACATTTTCGTCATTTCCCTGACAATTTCCGGTTCTCCCTGACTTTTTAAAATTCCCTGTCATTTCTCGGTTTCCCATTATCAACTGGCGACTAACTATAGTATTGACAGACTGGATAACCCTGGAGTTTGAACAACCTAAGGTCATCCCATTTCCCTCGGACAGCCAAAACTGTCAAAAAAATGCGTTGAAATTGCCGAAGAAATGAAATTTCAAGAAGGGGCATTGCTCCCCTCCCCTCCACAACTTCCACACCCGCGGTGGAGACGAAGAACTTTCTCAGTGTCAAAACTATCGGAAGCCGAAACGGCGTGAATGGCGGTAACGAGCCGCGCTCTGACGCCCAACCGGGTTGCGCTCTTTTCCTGATCCGGTCAAGCCTCCAGCGTCGCGGTCATCCATACCGACCTGCAAACAGCGACCAGGAACCACCAGTGGCGTGGCGTAACGTGCTTTGCGATATATCGATTGATCGGCCATTTAAACCTATGGAACAGTATCGATAAACAGGCTGTTCGCAGCGAACATCTTCATAATCGGTTATTCACCACTAGAGTACCTGTATAGCGAGAGTATGGACAGATCGCTTCATGGAGGGCTTAGGGCCCAAAAGTGCAGCCACCCTTCTAACCAACTTCTAACGTACAAAATTTCACTGCCAGTCTGTAGATTCCAATTCTAACGAAGATGGCTAAGAAAGTACTTAAATGAGCGTTCTTCCACAAAAATGAGTAAATTTATGCAAAAACTAAGTCAAATACGTGCTTTATAAACGATGGTTCGTAACAGTTGTATTAATAAATCGCTCTGGATAATTGAAATTCATAGGTTGGCTGCATTTCTGGGCCCTAACTTTATTCGCGGAGGCATCGGTGAAGGCCTGATGGATTTTCGGAGTTTCACATCTGTCTATACTCTCGCTATACAGGTACTCTATTCACCACAGCCTCAAATGGGGAAATATCGATAGATCGCAAAGTTCGTCACGCCACTGGGAACTTCCTCGAATCTTAGCCGCCCGAAACTCCAAAAGCAGTCCGACATCGGGCGCCGGGGCGCTAACTTGGAAACTGGGCTGGGGGCGCCCCGAAGGGCGGGCCGGTGGGCGCCAAGCTGGGACGCCCGGAAATCGGGACCCCTCCTGACCTACATCTCTGCAAACCTTGTTCGGTATCTCGCCCGCACGTTGCAAAAGCGTCGACAAAGTCAGCAGTTCGGAATGTTAAGTTCACGGAAAAAATGAAATTGCTGTTGTAACAATTTTGTTGTTACGAAAGTGTCAGACATGTTTCAATGTTAATTTTACAATAAAAATGCTAATTTAACCACTCCCGTGGTTAAATTAGCTCAATGGGTGAAAAATTGACTACAGCTATTTAAAGGAGAATTTATTTGGGTAATTTAAGGATATACCATGGGGGATGAGGGTTGAGAGAGTTTAGGGTAGGATGAGAAAGCACTGGCAGACCAAGACCGGTTTTGGGTTTTATACACCTATTAAAGCGAAGGGCAGCTAGTGCTTTTACTAAATTGAACCAAAGTTTAACGGTAACATGTCTTTTCTCGTATTGGAATCTAATCAACATTTTTCCAAAATAATCTTGACCCTTTAAATAATTGCTACCTCGGTTATTGAAAAAAAAAAAAAAAAAAAACATTTCATAAACCTCGTCAGACAACGCTGCTTTTTATTCACTTGTGGGCCAAGCGTTGACCGTGCTCTTCAATTAGCTATCACCGGATTCATAGTCGCCCTCCAATTGGACGCATTTATGCTAAAAGGAACTATGTGCATGGGGTTTGCATGTAACATAGTTCCTTTTAGCATAAATACGTCCAATTAAAAACTGTGTCGAGAGTTATTGGATGATTAGCTGGACTTGTTTTAAGTTCTTTCCACACAAAGCTGAGGCGGTGTAACGATCTGCCCTACCTTGGTTCGTGACCTTTGCTCTTCATAAAATGATTCATCGCGCTTCTTGTCAAACGTTTATTGTTTTGATAACTAACAAACACTGGCATTTTTCGACGCAGAAAGGAACTTAATCAGATCGAAGCAAATATTGGAAAATAAAGCTAAACTAATTTGTCACACAATAATTTTCACACTTCGCCTTCATCTACTAGGTTGCATCTCAAAAACTTTTGCGTGGAGGAATAGTTATCTATTCGAAAAAATGAAGGCACCTCTTACAGAATGATATTAGAAGTTACATTCAGTGAGAAAATGTGCCTTGAATTTTGGCATTTTTCGACGCAGAGGGAGAGAGGAACTAAATCAGAACGAAGCAAATCTCGTAAAATATAAAGCCAAAAAAAAATTGTTCACATCACGCCCTCGCCTGCTGGGGTGCATCTTAAAAACTTTTGCGTGGAGGAATAGTTATCTATTCGAAAAAATGAACGCGCCACTTAGAGAATGAGATTAGAAGTTACATTCCCAGAGAAAAAATGTGCCTTGAATTTTGACAGAGAAGTAAAAAGACTGATTGTCTTATTCTGTAATATTTTAAGGTTCAGTTTTTGTCTGTCAAGTTCATGTGATTTCACAATTCATGTAAACCATTCAGATCATATTTTTACTCCCCTTACGTCGGAAAGCAGTGGAGAGGTACTTACTTCTTTGACTTGTATGCAAAATTGAGAGGTAACAGGTAAGCCACTTGTGTGGGCTGCAGAATCATCGTTTAATGGCTGAAACGGATCGATCCGCAAATAAACAAGAATGTCTTTTTCAACGCTGGGTTCCCGGTTCCCACGTCCAATATTAACTTGCGTCCAGGTATGTTTGCAATCGTTCATTTTTTAGCTCGGACAGTTGTTTAACTTTCACAGGAAGGAGCCGAGTGCACATTGATTAGCGCTGACTCTCATGAACGCCTCTACCTGCCGACTAAATAACAGGCCCTTCTTTCTCTTGAAACGTTTCTTTTCCCAGGGTCTCTACGGCAACGAAAAAAAGAGGGAAAAAGTGAGTAAAACTGAAACTTTATTACTTGCCAAAAAATTTATGAAAAAAAGGTACACATGATGGTAGTTGAGGCACACCAGTCGGTGTAGGAAACCATTTTTGTCGGTGCTGAGCACCAACCACCCGTGGACCAATTTGGGAAAAAAAGTTCGGTGGTTAAAATCGTAAAATGAAGTTCCTTATCAGGCGTAATATTTGGTCCATGTTATTTTTTACTCAAATTTTGGAACTTTTTTTACAGTCCGGCTCCTGCTACCAATCCCTTTTTGCAGTTTGTTCACACGAGCGGATGCATAGTTACATGACTTGAAAATCACGATAAGACTTGAAAATGGTAGCCGAAATGGTGTACCGTAATATACGGCTCACATGACCAAAATGTTTTCCTAAGTGTAGGGTTATAGGCAAACACCAGCTTATTATTCAGTGTGCACCTTTTCCGACTTTTTATGCCTTTTATTTGAGTAAATCTATGGCTAAAATCGATACCACACAGCATTATTGCGATGTTGCAAAATTTCCGCTCCTATTTATTTTTCTTGAGGAGAAACAAGCCAATTTTGCAGCTACTTCTCCATAGAAAAAATAAAGTATGACAGGAAGTCTGCAACGTCGCAAACCTTACGTGGTTTCGCACTTTGGCCATCGAAATTTAAACGAAAATTTAATAAAAATTTTAAATTTTGCACGATACATATTTTTTGCTGTTCACTTTGCAATCCACACCGATGTAAAAAAAAATTTATCAGTTAGCAAAACTCTAATTTCTTTCCCCTTGACTTTCTCCCGTAAACTTTACATACGTTTTTCTTGAAAAAGAATGAAAGTGACTTCTAATTAGTATACTTTAACCGTTTTTTTGTTCAAAATTCCACATTCCGTGTGTATAAAAGGGCACACTATGAGGTATCTTCTTCATCCATTTTTTTTTTCAAAAGCACTTTGATACCCGAAAGCTTGTTTTCCTAGAGGAGAAAATTTGACAACTAGGGCCACAGCGAGGAAAGGAAGAGATTTCGGATTGTTTGACGCACCCTGGAGCGTGGTATTGCCGTGGTCACGCGATCTAATTCGTCGCCCCCTGACGAAAGGGCGTATCTGGATTGCCACGTGAACCCTGCTTCACATATAAACTAATGCTTTCCGAGGCTCATCCGGAAGCCGAGATACGCTGTTTCGCCGAAGAAGCGAGGAATTGTCGGCGTGGAGACGGGAGAAAATCCGCAGACACCGAGACATACGAGTCGCAAGTTGGGAGCTTCGCGCTCGGATCGGTCTGTCTAGTAGCCGCAGCGCCTGGCCCGGGGGGAGGGGGGTTGGGGGAGGGAGGGGCTATTCGCACTTAGTTGGATAACTAGGTGCAACCGAAAATCTTAAATCCATCCGTTGCTCACCTCCAATTTTAACGAATCCATATCCTCTCCTGCCAAATCGTGCAATATCACCAGAGGTCAGGGTTGCACGGGTGAAATGAAAAAAATGAAACATTGCGAATTTTCGTGAAATATTGAACATTTTCGTGAAATATTTCATGAACTTTCACAAATTTGTAAAAAATATGAAACAAATGAAACGTATTTTGTGGGGCTGGGTATGCAACGCACGATAAAAAAACACCAAAAAGCAAAAACCAGTCGTCTTTTATTTAATTTTGCATTTGGTTTCGAAAAATATTTTTTCAATATTTTTCTATAATTTTTTCATGAATTATTTAATATGACATTTTAAGATTTTATTTTTCATGAAAAATTGCAACCCTGGTAGAGGTTGAAAATGAGGCTTAGGGTCGTATTTGTAGTATTTCTCTAAACAGCTCCTCTCCGTACGAAGCCCCAACAAAACCACGTATCCATTTTGCGACGTTACAAACTTCCTGACATATTATATTTTTTCTCTGGAAAATTAGTCATCATAAACTCTTGAAGACTACCTTGATATTATTTCTGAATTGGCAGAATATTCTGTAAAAATTTCAACCGCTCATTCTGCATTGGTTTAAATGGGAGATTAAATGATACATCACAAAACACGCCACGCTACTGGATGTGACGCATGAGCACAATAAAAAAGGAAGCATCACCTACAGAAGACATATTCAAACGTGGGATTAATACCAGCTTCTAGATGCAACTATTCGCGCTCGTGGGTTGTGCGTGTTGCGTACAGAAATGTGAAGGCGCTTCAATTCTCCTCGCCCATGCCGCGCCGACTCTTTCACGTGTCCCCCGGTTCAAACTGTTGGTCGACGTCATCGATTCTCTCCTTAACGCGCCCCATAAGCCTTATTTGCGGCTCTATATGCATCTGATAAAATGCGGCTGATTTGACTATTTGCCTATGCGACACGTGCCGATGGCTAATGTACGAAACCACGTATCTCCGTAATTCCGGTAATACTTTATGGTTTCTCTAAAAAACTATAGTCAACGTAATTCCTTGAAAAATTATTTGTTTTTCTCCCCTATTAGCAAAGTATTCTGGGTAAATAGTGAATTTTCAGGAGTCCTAAATTTTGTAAATTCCATTTTTAAAATGATACTGCTAGGAAAACTGAGTACAAGGATGCCCTTGGTTTCTAAATTGGACAATTATTGGAGGAAATATGACAAAATAACTTAATCTGCCAAAAACCATGTATTCAAATGAAAAATGCCGCCAGATAACGTCATGAGGCGGCACATTTTCTCACTTTTAAATCTATTCTTCTCCAATGTCCCATATCGGAAAAAAATTATGAAAAATACTGCGAACTCAGCTCAGTAAGCACTTGCAGATGAAGCAATAAAGTTTTTGTGTGCAAATTCTCCATTTCAACTCATTATAATGACTTTTTTCTCCTCAAAAATATAAACGAGAGGCGCGAAAGTTTTGAAACGCCGCGATGGAGGTCCGTGCTTTCGCACTTGGACCACGGATGGACTCCCTGAAGAAGTTCTCGGGAGCGCCTTGAACCAGTGGCGTGGCGTGAATTGCGATACATCGATTGCCATCTAAACCTATGGATAAGGATCGATAAATAGGGTGTTCGCAGCGAACACCTTAATAATCGATTTTTTACCATAGGTGTAAATGACATACCAATCGATACATCGCGATTCACGCCACGTCACTACCTTGTACATCCGCCACCGTTACCACCCGACTGCCGACGGTCCAGAGGCACGACCTCTGGCGAGTTCAAATATTGACCCTGCACCATGGACCATGGACGGTGCGTCCTCGATCCTTTGACCGCGCGAGGCGTCACGTAGGGGTCCTGTCGTGGCGTTGCGTGCGATGCGAACCCGCGGAATCCTGCGCCTGCCAAATCCCACGCCACGCTGCGTTGCGGCGTCCGCGGGTTCGTTTTCAGGAAACGCGGTGCCGCCGGTGCGGGTCGTCGAACGAGCGGCGCTGGGTGCCATGCGGCGTCGCGACGCCACGGGTGTCCGCTCACGTGCGAGCAGCGAGCATCGGCGCGTGCAGGCGAGCGAGAGCAGACACCATAGAGCACGCACGCACTCGCACTGCACTTGCGAGTTGAGCGGTGAGGTAACCGAGGAAGCGTGTCCGATCCAGGCGCCACCCGCCGTTGTCAGCTCAAACACCCAACACTCACCGCTATACTGCCGTGCTAAGGAAAAGGAAGAACGCCGTATGAACATTTGAGAGTTGCCAGATTTCCTTCGGTAAAATATTTATTTTTGAGGACAGTTAGGAATATTTTTCCTTCTTTTCAGAATCTTTCGGTGAAATCGCGAACAAAATTACCTGAAAAATTGGGAGGAAAATCTTCATAAGTTTACCAGGAAATTCGCGTTTACAAAGGAAATATGGCAACGCCTGACGGTTCATACAGCGTTTTTTCTTAGCTATGGGAGAACGCTGTAAGAGCCTTTAGACGTTGCCAAGTTTCTTCCGATAAAAACTGAAAATACTGGGTGAATTGTGAATGTTTCCCCCCAAAATTTTCAGACAATTTCGTACGCAATCAAATCTAAAACATCTGAAAATTTCAAAGAAAAATGTACACGAATGTCGTCAAGAATACATGTTTTATCAAGGGAAATTTGGCAACTGTCGAATGTTCACACGGCGTTTTAACTAAAATTGTACGAAGAAACATAGGTTCTTAACTTTTAAGCCGAGATTAAATGTAAATTTTACCTCTGCACAATTTTAAGATAGAAACCAATTGGTTTTTCTTATAATTGCAACGTGTATGTTTTGTTGAACTCCTATCCTTAATTTTAAACAAACAAACATCTGAAATTTCAAATAAAATGTGCATGAATGTCGTCAAGAATACATGTTTTATCAGGAAAATTTGGCAATTCGCGAATGTTCTTACGGCGCACTTACTTAGCATTGCAGTATATTCCATGACCATAGTTCCAAACCACGTATCTCCGGTGTAATCTTTCAAAATTTCTCATCCTATTTTATTTTTTTCCAAGATAAATAAGCCGAAAATTACAGCTTGAAATGTTTACAGAATACTTCGCGAAGAGAGAAAAAACCAAGGAAGTTTTCGAGAAACAATGTTGACTAGTTTTCCACAGAGAAAATGAATTACGACAGGAGGTCTGCGAAATCGTAGACGGAGATACGTGATTTCATACTTCGGTCATCGACATTGACTCTACAAGGGATGGGAACATGGACAAAATGTGAGGGGGGAGGGAGGTTGGCCCCTCCGAAAAAATGCGACATATTTTGCTAAGTTAGTGATAAGAAGGTGGTAAAATAATACTGGTCCAAACTTTTTTGCGGGGAAACCAAGGCCGAATATGTCCGACCTTTCCCATGGACTCGGTCCACAGTGCGGCGGATAGACGGTGGACCGGGGACCGACCCGAAAACAAAATGGTAAAGAGACCCCACATCGCTCTAGCGCCCCAGACAAGGAATCACCCGGAGTTACAGGTCTGAAATTCCATAATCGTCCAAAAATGACTAAAAAATCAGATTTCATAGACGATGTGGCAACCTC